GAATTGTTTTTTATTGTGTGCTTAGCAAAATCTTCTCCACTTCAAAAACATTAAACTATCCATCTACCCTGCTTTCTGGTTAAGCTTATTATCTCAAGCGCAGTAGTCAGCAAACTTTTTCTATAAAAGGTCAGATGGTAAATATTTTTGATTTTGTGAGCCATACAGAAGGTCTCTACCACAACTGCTCAACTCTGCCATTGTAGTGGGAGAGCAGACACTGACAATACGTAAAACTAATGAGTATAGCTATGTTCCACTGAAATTTTATTTATGCACACTGCAATCTGATTTCACATAATTTTTATACGTCCCCTCCCCCAAATCTTTTTCAACCATTTAGAAATGTAAAACCATCCTGCCTTCTTTAGTTTGCCAGTTCTACAGAAACAGGTGGCACGTCAGCTCTGGGCCACAGGTGCTTTCCTTCACAGGTTTTGTCTCCTGCCATGAAGTATAGTGTCACACCAAAATTTCTTTCAGTTAGATACTAGCCTTTTTTGAAAGTGTTCTCTTGACGGTACCGAGAACCCCTAAGGAATAAAGCGAAACCACCATACGTCTGACTTAGCTGCCTGTTTCTGTCCAAAGGGCTTCCCTGGTGGCTCAGATAGTAGAGAATCCTCCTGTGATGCGGGAGACCTGGGTTTGATCCCCAGGTTGGGCAGATCCCCTGGAGAAGGGAATGGCTACCCACATCAGTATTCTGGCCTGGAGAATTCCATGGACTGTACAGTCCCTGGGGTCGCAAAGAATTGGACACGACTGAGTGACTTTGACTTCTGTGCAAAATCTAAAGTCATAAAATTCTGAGCTAAGATGAACACCTTCATTTCTATTTTAGAATAACAACTATTTCACTTTCTCCAGAAACTTTTCATTGAATGTACTAATATATTTTATAAATTCTCTTTCTTTCCTTGTAAAAGTTTCCCATTGCTTTATAGATTTACTGAGACAAAATTGACTTGATAGTGAAGATCTTATGTGCATGTTGTCCTGTGGAAGCCATACTCCATTATATATGCTTCTTTTTAATAATTTGTTTTTTAATTGACTGCCACAAAGAAATACTGCATATTAGTAGTGACCATGTATTTAGAAATGTTTTGTTTGCTATGTACTCTCTAAAGGACCTAATACAAACATTATCTCATTTAATCACCACAGAAACCTTTGTGTAGTAGGTGTTTATGTCATTTCACAGATTTAAAAAATATGGGTCACCCATTTCTCCAAAGAAAATACACAGATGGCTAAGAGGCACATGAAAAGATATTCAACATTACTAATTATTAGAGAAATGCAAATCAAAACTATAATGAAAAAAACTATAATGATATGTCGCCTCATACCAGTCAAAATGGCTATCATCAAAAAAAATCTTCAAACAATAAATGCTGGAGAGGTGTGGAGAGAAGGGACCCCTCCTATGCTGTTGGTGGGAATGTGTTAATAAATTGGTACAGCTACTATGGACAACAGTATGGAGGTTCCTTAAAAAACTAAAAATACAGATATCATATGACCCTGCAATCCCACTCCTGGGCGTATATCTGGGAAAAAACAAAACAAAAAACCTTGTTTGAAAGGATACATGCACCCCAATGTTCATTGCAGCACTATTTACAATAGCCAAAACATGGAAGCAACCTAAATGTCCATCGACAGAGGAATGGATAAAGAAGATGTGGTACATATATACAATGGAATATTACTCAGCTATTAGAATGAAATAAAGCCATTTGCAGCAATATGGATGGACCTAGAAATTGTCATCCTGAATGAAGGAAGTCAGGGAAAGAGAAATATCCTATGACATGGCTTATATTCTGAAATCTATTTGCAAAACAGAAATACACTTGAAGACTCATGGTTACCATAGGGGAAGGAAAGGGAGAAGGGATAGTTAGGGAGTTTGGGATAAACATGTACACACTGCTATATTTAAAATGGATAACCAACAAGGACCTACTATATAGCATGGGGAACTCTGTTCAATGTGATATGGCAGCTAGGATGGGAGGGGAGTTTAGGGGAGAATGGATGCATGTATATATATGGCTAAGTCCCTCTGCTGTCCACCTGAAACTATCACAACATTGTTAGTTGGCCATACTCCAATATAAAACAAAAAGTTAAAAACAACAGCAACAAAAACTATGGGTCAGAAAGGTAAATGACCTGTCAGCTAGCACATGCAAGATCAGAAGTTAAATCTAGTTTTGTGAGTCTTTAAAGCCATGAATGCCCTTGAGCAGTGCTAGCCTGCATCCTTACAATTTATTTGCCACCCTGATGAAGTATAATTTTTAATACAAATAAATAAAAATTATTTTAAACATTAAGCCCAACAAACTAAATATTCAAAAAACCTCTCCCTGGAAAGAGGTATGTTTCTGTTTTTACAGTAAATATATAAAAACTTTTAAACATTTATTATCTTACCTGTTTGGTAGATTTTTAAATGAAAATGTATATATCATTTTTTAACATGGTCAAATAGATCATTTCTGTTTTGTTTATGGTTTCTACCTTCCCCAACTCAAATTTATTAAAATAGTCTCCTGGGACTTCCCTGGTGATCCACTGGTTAAGACTCCACACTCCCAATGCCGGGTGCATAGGTTCAATCCCTGGCCAGGGAACTAGGATCCTGAATTGCCCTGAAGCACAGCTAAAGGGAAAAAAAAAAATAGTCTCCTATTTTTCCTTCAATATTTTTCATAAAGTAAACCAATCTCCAAGCCATTTATAAGATTGCTTACAGACTTATTTAGAAGAAATCTATGTCAAAGGATCAAATTTAGTATGCTTTTGCCTTTATTTCAGTCCCAATAATTTAGATAATTTTACAGTGACAGTCTTTTCCCCATTACAAGTCTTGATACTTGAATTTATTATGCTCAAACTTCACGTCTGAACAGATTGAATTACCTTTGAAACCATGTTTCATGCTTATCAGTTGCAGAGAAACCCATGAACTGAGAAAGAGAGCCCCTTTTCCTAGAGATTAAGCTTAGATTACTATCTAAATTCTTAGCTCATATCTTAAATGATTTCTTAAATATTCTTATTAATTCCCCATAAGAGACTAAACTTAATTCAGAAATTGTATCATTTCTCTGACAATGGATGATCCATATGTTGTGAAGGAACTGGCTAAAATTAGTTCTTTAGGTATTACTGTAATTGAAATTTATAATCACCAAGTGAGCTTTTCTGGTTTGTAGCTAGGAGCTGGCCATTAGGACTTCATAGTATCTTTTTTTTTTCCTTCTTTAAATATTTCTTGATTCCACACAGATCCTCTGATTCCATAGCCTTGCTTGTCTCAAGGTGGAATACTACTGAATAATGCATACATTTAATTTTACTTATATTTCTCGTGTTTTTATGACTAGTAGTACAAAACTGTAAGATTTTAAAGTAAGTGAGAAAAAAGCAGTATATGTAACTATAACTATATATATATAGTTATGACAAACCTAGACAGTGTATTAAAAAGCAGAGACATCACTTTGCCAACAAAGATCTGTACAGTCAAAGCTATGGTTTTTCCAGTAGTCATGTACAGATGTGCGAGTTGGATCATAAAGAAAACTTAGCGCCAAAGACTTGGATGTTTTCAAATCGTGGTGCTGGAGAAGACTCTTGAGAGTCCCTTGGACTTCAAGATCAAACCAGTCAATCCTAAAGGATATCAACCCTAAACATTCGCTGGAAGGACTGATGCTAAAGCTGACGCTCCACTATTTCGGCCACCTGATGTGAAGAGTCAACTCATTGGAAAAGACCCTGATTCTGGGGAAGATTGAAGGCAGGAGAAGAGGACGACAGAGGATGAGATGGTTGGATGGCATCACCAACTCAATGGACATGAGTTTGAGCAAGCTCCAGGAGATGGTGAAGGACAGGGAAGCCTGGCATGCTGCAGTCCATGGGGCTGCAAAGAGTCAGACACAAGTTAGCAACTGGACTGAATTGAACTGATAATATATATAGTTAGTTAAGTCACTCAGTCATGTCCAACTCTTTGCGACCCGGTGGACTGTAGCCCATCAGCCTCCTCCGTCCATGGGATTTTCCAGGCAAGAATACTGGAGTGGGTTGCCATTTCCTTCTCCAGGGGATCTTCCCGACCCAGGGATCGAACCCAGGTCTCTCACATTGTAGACAGACACTACTGGAAAGATCATAAAGTTTGAAGTGGTTATTCCTATGTGGCGGGATTAATGTTTATCAGTTTCTTTATACTTACCTTTGTGGTTTTCAAACTTTTAACATGAATACTTATTACATTAGAAAATAATTACAGGGTTACCTGTAATCATTTTATTGCACTTCATAGATACTGCATTTTTTGCAAATTGAAGGTTTGTAGTAACCCTGAGTCAAGCAAGTCTGTCAGCACCATTCTTCCAATGGCATTTGGTCACTTCGAGTCTCTGTGTCACATTTGGGTAATTCTTGAAAGAATTCAAACTTTTTCATTACTATTATATTCCTTACAGTGATCTGGGATGGTGATCTTTGATGTTATTACTATTACTTACTGAAAGTTTGGATGATGGTTAGCCTTTTTTAGCAATAAAGTAGTTTCAAATTAAGGTATGTAGTACACTGCTTTCTGGGCTTCCCAGGTAGTGCAGTGGTGAAGAATCTGTCTGCCAATTCAGGAGATGCAGTGGACTGGGGTTTCATCCCTGGGTTGGGAAGATCTCCTGGAGTAGGAAATGGAAAACCACTCCAGTATTCTTGCTTGGGAAATCCCATATACAGAGGAGCCAGGTGGGCTACAGTCCACGAGGTCACAGAGTCGGACACAACTGAGCACACATACACACACACACACTGTTTTTTAAGACATAATGCTATTACACACTTAATAGACTACACAGAATAGTGTAAATATAAGTTATATATGAACTGGGAAACCACAAAATTAAATGCCACCCACTTTGTTTCGATATCCATATTTGTTTATTGCATGGTCTGGAACCGAACAAGCAGTATTTCTGAGATATGCCTATATTTGGGGGAAAACAACAACAACATAGGTCTATTACCTTTTACTTAAACACACAGGTATTACTTGGCATAGATATTACTTGGTATAATTCTAAAAACTTTGCTTCTGACTAAAAACATATATGTAAAAAAATACAGCAAAATATAAATAATTACTAAGCCATTGACCTTATTCTATAGCACTGTAGAAAATAAGGACACAAAGAAAACTCCAAAATGTGGGAACTGAAAGCAGGCAGCTGATGGATCAACGATGGGAAGACATTAAGATTTTGAGGACCCCTTCATATCCTTTTTCTTTTTTCTTTTTCTGAAGGAATATTTCCTAGAATGAGAGAAAAATCATGAAAAGCAAAATATTTCTACATTTATTATTTAGAAGATTAAATGAACTCTTTAATTACAAGCATTGGTGATGATGATTTATCCATTTTGAGCAAACATTTACTGAGTAAGGATATGTAGAAATGGCTTCCTAGGTGGCACTAGTGGTAAAGAACGTGTCTGCCAGTGAAAGAGACGTAAGAGACATGGGTTCAGTCCCTGGGCTGGCAAGATCCCCTGGAGAAGGGCATGGCAACCCTCTCCAGTATTCTTGCCTCCAGAATCCCATGGACAGAGCAACCTGGCAGCCTGCAGTCCATGGAGTCGCACAGAGTCAGACACAACTGAAGAGGCCTTATATAGGTCAAGAAATGAAACATAAAGTTTGAATTTTGTATTTGTTCACTTAGGTCTTGATTGGCTTTGTTGAGCCCCTTTTAGGGCCTCTTTCTTGACCTTGGTGATAGTTACATGGGTGTTTCCACTTGGTAAACATCCATCGAACTCTGTATTGGGGTTAAAATGTGTGTGTTTTCCTATATGTGTTACAATTCAATTAAAAATTTTCTACTTAAAAAAAAAAACCAAACAAACCAACACTTCGCCATAGCTCTGCTCCTGCCTTTCTGAGGTGCATTACTGTGACCCCCGTGCACGGCTCCCCAGAACGTTTCCTCCACACCCCAGCTCTGGGCCCGGCCAGTCACCATCGCCCGTCTCCTGGGCTCAGTGGTGGTGGGAAAGGCAGGCAGGGCCACAGGTACCCTTCCTAGGCCGCTCTCTGCAAGTTAGGGGATTGTTTTAAAATATGGAGATAGGGTTGGTATATTTTAATACTTCCCTAGATTTTAAAAGTTTATTCAGTCTTTTAAGGATTCGTCTATGTACAAATTTAGCCAGTCTGAGTCAGAACATCATTCCTCATTTTCTCAATCCCTCCTTTCTCAGTCCTCTGTGGGGTGGAAAGGAAAGCCTTTCATATCCTCATGTTATCAGCGTCTTTTCTTGGTTAAAATGTTAGGTTATTTATTTAACCTGAGAAAAAAGGAGAAGGTCCTCCACGATACCTTTTACTTTATGGGATCCATGTGACACAGGAGTCTTGGACCTCTACAATGCAAAAAAAGGGCAAGACTAAAAAAAAGAACAATTTTTTTTTCTACTCCTCCATTATCAAGCACTCAAATAACAAACACTATTAGCTATATGTCATCTGTGTTTCTAGGATCATTTGCCTTAGGCAGAATGAAATTAAATAATAGGTCTGAGCCAATTCTGAAGCCTTAGTCCCTCCAACCCAGGCTTTAACCTTTCTGAAGCTTTCATTTCTAACCTTTTAATCCTCTTCACAATGTGTTGACGGTCATCCTGGGAATGATTTATGCAAGGAGCCCACTGATCAGGACCATTCAGCTGTGGCACTACCTTCAGGCCTAGAAATAAACTAATTCGTCTATGTTGTTCTTTTGTGTTTTTCTGGATCCTCTTTATATGATCCATACCACATTTAACAATATATGTATCAACCAACACAACACTGTAAAGTAACTATATTCCAATTAATTTTTATATATGTTTACTGATATATATATATATATATATACATATAGATATATATATATCAAACAACACATTATTTACTCAGTTCTGATTGCTATGAGCCAGAGGGCTTAAAGGAGAATAAGAAAAGAAAATAATAGACACAGTGCTATATGTGTCTAATTTTAGTTATCTCAATTGCATTTAATATTATTTCCTCTACACATAAGCACCCTGTCTGATATTGGAAAAAATTTTTCATACATTTCTTAATCTTCATTCATATTTCCCTTGTTGTGGTACCTTGAATAAATCATGCAATATTTGTTGATATATTGTGTATTTGCTAGTTCCCAGGAAAAGAACATTACATCATCTCTGTGAAAAAAACTGGTTTATTTACATATTTAAACACCAGAATAGCTGATACATGTATATAAAAGCAAATTAATAATTTGAAATTACTAAAAAAACAAGAATTGGGTTGATTTATATATCAGCCTCTACATTAAACATTGAGTCCTATAACCAAATATATGGGTGACTTCCTTCATTTCTGGTTTTTCTATACACTATACTTCTATAATATCTGTACATGAACCCTCCATGGATAAGGGTCCAAAGTAATTGTGTGTAATATAAATGCCCCCCCCAAATCATTAGGAATGCATGCTGTAAGCATCATTCAAAGAGCATCAGAAATTATTCCATTCACATAAAACTTAAAACTTCTAAATATAAGAGGTCATCATAAAAATAAAAAGGCAATGATTGCAAATTTATGACATAAAAATTTACTCTTGTTTGTGTGTAAAGAATTCTTTTAAAACCATAAGGAAAATACAAACAGAAAATAGGTATGGGCCATAAACTGGCAATTCACAACAAAAGGCGAAAAATATAAATGACCAATAAATGTGTGGAAAATATTCAGCTTCATTAGTGGTTGCAGCATTGCCACATAACAATAGGATGCATTTTTCATGTAATATCAATGAAATCAAGATTTTATTTATTAACTAACTACCCATGATATGTAAGGGGCTTCCCTCATGGCTCAGATGGTACAGAGCTTGCCTGCAATGCAGGAGACCCAGATTTGATCCTTGGGTTGGGAAGATCTCCTGGAGAAGGAAATGGCAGCCCACTCCAGTATTCTTGCCTGGAGAATCCCATGGACAGAGGAATCTGGCAGGCCACAGTCCATGGGGTCCAAAGAGTCAGACACAACTGAGTGACTAACATATGATATCTAGGATGCTGGGACATGAGCACTCCCATATACTGTTAATGTAAGTAAAATGCTGGAAACTGTCAGGAAAACAATTTGACCATGTGCATTGAATTCATACCTTTGACCAAGTGATGCAGCTTCTAGGAATCTCTTCTAAATTATCATAGATTAATTCAAGGATGTATGTACAGATAGAGATCGCAGTATTGTACACAATTGTGAAAAATAACAACAACCTCAATGTCCAACTATCGCAAATAAAGAAAACTCAGGCTAAGAAAGTATTTAAGCAAAATTTCCAAACTCACAGGAAATAAAGTGCAGGGCTGAACTCAAACGCAGGTCCATCTGCCTCTAGCTCCCCACCCTGATGTCCCTCAAGCTTGTGGTTTCCCTGAAACTTTCTTTGTTTTTCTTTCCATTTATTTTTATTAGTTGGAGGCTAATTACTTTACAATATTGTAGTGGTTTTTGCCATACATTGACATGAATCAGCCATGGACCCTGAAACTTTCTTGAGGCGTCTCTCAGATTCTGGCATTTCTATTTTTTCTGAGCTCAGGATTAGATATTGGTTTCCTGCCTCTCCTGTGGCCCAGCCTCAGTGCTCTGGGGTCCAAGTAAGATTTCTTGGGGTGGGTGTGGGAGGGATGCAGAGTGGAATAATGCTGCTACTTTGACACCCTCCATCACATTGGGTTGAGTCCCATTCTGCACCAGTATGAGAGGCCTCCTCAGACCACGCGGCGGCTGAGTCCCAGTGCTGGCAGGCTGGCAGGAAGACACCCTAACCCAGGACTGTGTCATCAAGATGGCACACCTCAGGACATTTACTGCTTTTAGATTGCGATTATCACTCCCCTGCCCTAGGAACCAAGAGCCCCTGCCAGCCTGCCCTGTCCCTCTTTTCTGTTTTATTAACAGCAGTGTTTTCTCACTGCAGAAGCAGTACTTCTAAAAGCCTCTACTGTAGTTCTTTCGACAAACACTCTGACAAGGAAAGACAATGGCTAAGGTGCTTCTCACAGTCAAGAATGCACAGGCGGAACTGTCATCTCTAAGTTGGATTTCTGGGTTCCTCAATACCTGAATCAGCTGTTGTAACTGAAAATGCCAAATGTCTTATTTTCCCTGCCCTGATTTAAATGCCAACTAAAATTAATTATCCTAAGCCAGTGATTTTCAAAGATGGCAAGATCACCTGAAACTTGTTAGATATGCAGATTCTTGGGCCCTACTCAGAACCCACTGGGTCCTCTGGGGGGAGGGAGTACAGGAGGTGGGGTGCCTAAACACAGGTGGCAACAGACCCTCCAGTGGATTCTGATTTCCTCAGGTCAGAACCATTGCTCAAAGCTTCCACCCCTTCCATTCCTCACACTGCTGGACAACTTTTAATCACCCCATTCTATGTGGCTCCATTGTGTTGTTATATTACGTTATGATATTCAGTTGTGAGTCTGCATTCCCCCAACCCCGCCATTGTGAACTCCTTAAATAACAGAACCTAGGTTTTTCGGTGTTCGTATTTCTAGGGCAAGCACAGCACCTGGCACTTACTGCTGCGTCACTTCAGCCGTGTCCAACTCTGCGCAACCCCACAGACGGCAGCCCATCAGGCTCCCCCGTCCCTGGGATTCTCCAGGCAAGAACACTGGAGTGGGTTGCTATTTCCTTCTCCTGACACTTATTAAATGTGTGTTACATGAATATTGAGTAAATTGAGGCATTCAGAAAAGGAATCTCCTGGTGGCTCAGACAGTAAAGAACCCGCCTGCAATGCAGGAGACCTGGGTTCAATCCCTGGGTTGGGAAGGTCCCCTGGAGAAGGGAAAGGCTACCCACTCCAGTATTCTTGCCTGGGAAATTACATGCACAGAGCAGCCTGGTGGGCTACAGTCTGTGGGGTTGCATAGAGTCAGACATGACCGAGCAACTAACACTCCACTTAAAATAGTCAAGAGAAAGTCTGAAACCCACAGGCATTAGTGGGAGAAGACTATCCATCCACATAGTGTACAACCACCTACAGTCATGTTCTCAGGTTTCCAAAAGCTGCTTCCCCTATATCATCTTTCATAGGTTTCACTATATTTCTTACTGCATCTGAATTTTTAGCAACAGTTCCCGTCTACACAATATCTTGAGCTGAAATTAGTTCCAGTTTTGTCATCTTGATCACATCTTTCACAGAGGGCTTTTTTTTTTCATGTTGGAAATCTTAAGACATTGTTGAATGTGAAAGTGAAGTGAAAGTGTTTAGTCGTTCAAGGTGTCCAACTCTTTGCAACCCAATGGACTGTAGCTCACCAAGCTCCTCTGTCCATGGAATTCTCAGGCAAAAATACTGGAATGGGTTGCCATTCCCTTCTTCAGGGGATCTTCCCCACTCAGGGATCAAACCTGGGTCTCCTGCATTGCAGGCAGATTCTTTACCGTCGGAGGTTAGCTAGCATCTTCCTTGGTGGCTCAGAGGGTAAAGCGTCTGCCTGCAATGTGGGAGACCCAAGTTCGATCCCTGGGCCGGGAAGATCCCTTGGAGAAGGAAAGGGCAACCCACTCCAGTATTATTGCCTGGAGAATCCCATGGATGGAGGAGCCTGGTAGGCTACAGTCCACAGGGTCACAAAGAGTCGGACACGACTGAGCAACTTCACTTCACTTCACTCGTTTACTTAAGAAATATGTATTGAGTGTCTACTGCATGCCAAGCACTATTCCAGGCACACTACAAAATAGAAGAGAAAAAAACCTGTGCTCTGTGTCTGACTCTGGGCTGGGTGTTTTCTACACATATCTTGTTAAATCCTATGCTGTGAAAATTAACTTGCCAAGTATCATGATGCGCTTTAGCTTAATGGGGGAAAATGTCTAATTTACATTCATCTCTTTTAACTCTATCTTGAATGGCAAAAGGGGCCATCATATTATCACTAACTATGCCATATCCCTGTATAGATTATAAAATTTACCAAACCCCTTTTGTGGCTCTCAGCTCTTCATTATCGAGCATGGAGTAGGCTCTCATGAAAACTGCATCCTAACCCATGGATTTCATCCAACTCTCCCTGTTTATTGAGTGAGGTGACTAATAGTATTTTGTGCCCGGGCAGCAACTTGAATAAGACTGTTAAAAGTCCTGGGTGCCTGGGTTCTTGTAACTCTTGTTACTGTTAAGATGACAACTACATGGCATAGGACTTCAAGACTCTTCAATTTGATTTCTAATCTCTGTTTACTCTGGGAACTACTGAAGAGTAATGATGAAATTTTAAATCTAAAAATTTTCCTACTTAAATAGTATTTTTAAAAACACACAGTAAGATATTGTTTTCCTGTGGTTTAAAAAAAAAACAGATAACATAAAATTTACCATCGGAATCATCTGAAAGTATACAGTTCAGTAGGGTTGAGAAAAGGTTGTGAAACGGATCTCCAGGACTTTATCATTTTGCAAATCGGAAACTCTTGTACCCATTAAGCAACCCCTTAACCTCCGTCCCTGGAATATTGTCACAGGGCTTTCAGACACAGAGTTTAGAGAGTTTGACCCTTTCTTCTTGTACTGGTCTCTAAAAGCCCAAGGAGAAAATAGCAAAGGCAAAAAACACTTCTGTGTTTCTCTGAGTTATCTTACTCATCTGTAAAAATCAGTGGCTGTTGGAGAGCCCCCTGAATGCCTTCAGGTCTTTAACAGATAACTCTGCCTTTAGTCATGCCAGGAAGCTGAAAAGTCTTTTGCCTGTTTGTGAGTTTTGGAAGAACATCTGGAAACAGGTTCTAGGAGACAAAAGGGCTTGCAGCTGTGGGCTCCTCCACTGCCTCCCAGTACTGCGCTCTCACACTCACACTGCAAACTATAGCATGTGGCTTGCACTTACACAGTTCCAGTGGCAGAAACCTCATACCTGAGGCCAGGGCTCCTTCCTTGCCTTGCCTTTACGGTTGCTATAGATTCTGAGAAAATGTCACAAAACTGCTTTCCCACATGCCTGAAAGTATTTGGAATTACCTGTCTGGTCTGATTCTGAGTCTTAACTGCTTCAGGCTTGCTTTCTTTTCTCCTAGATGCACTCAGAAAATACTGAATTTAGGAAATAGTAAAAGAAAATATTTCCAATGAGCAGAATATTAATATGTGACAACTGAGCTTTCCCTATCAGTAGGGTTCATTCATGCATTTGACAGACAGCAATACAAGTAACAGCTTGATGCAGGATAGAACCTAAAAGCTGGGAGACCTACTAGTGGGATACCTTTCTTTGTTTGGCTTGGGTTTTTTTAATTTATTATCTTATTTATTTAATTTTCAGCTGCACTGGGTCTTCATTGCTGCATGCAGGCTTTCTCCAGTTGAGGCAAGAGGGGGCTTACTCTCTAGTTGCAGTGCTTGCTCGGGCTTCTCTTTGCAGTGGCTTCTCTTGTTGCTGAGCAGCGGCTCTAGGGCTCCTGGGCTTCAGTAGTCGCAGCTTGTGGGCTTTAGAGTGTGAGCATGTGGAATCTTGCCAGACCAGGGATCAAACCTGTGTCCCCGGCATTGGCAGGTGAATTCTCAACCACTGAACCACCAGGGAGGTCCTGGTTTGGTTTCTTGTCTTCTCAAAATCTCCAATGACATCCTCCCTCCCATTCTTAGTCCATATGATTCAGGTAAATTTGCCCCACAACTGCCTTTATAGGCAAGGATGTCATCCCCACCATGGTACGGATGGAAGCCACCGCATTACCCCTCATCCTTGGCTAAGGCTTTGGGAATTGCCTCTTGCGAGACATGAGTTTCCAGAGAAAGACCCAATAATAGGTGCCAGAATGTAAATTTTAAATACAGGATCATGGTCAAAGAGAATCAAAGTGAACAGGTTGCAATGAAGGTCACTGGCTCAATCTGATTGGAAGGATAGCTGGGAAATAATTAGATATACTAAGTAGTATAAAAATAAAAGTGAGATTTTATTAAGAAACTACTAATGGATAAAGAAAATATAAAGGCAGACCTAACCCAGAAAACATTTGTAAAGAATTAAGAATCAAATAGAAGTCATATATATGTATATCTGAAATGTATTGAAACTTTATTTTTTCACACAAGAATGTAACATGCTATTTCCATATTGAGCCCCGTGTGTGTGTTTTGTCTTTTACTTTTTTTGCAGTGTTGCTACAGTAATACCTTCTATACAGACCGTTGATGTATCCATCGCCTATTTCAAAAAGTATTTGTGGACATTTCAAAGTGAACGGTGCCTCTGAGTTGAAGATTAACTTGTTTAGAAGACTATGTGCTGCCAAAACTACCAAATGATAACCAAAAATAATTTAAAAAAATAAGCAGCTCAAACTTTGCTGATCTTTACGCTAACCTTTCTTACAGCTATCTACTTTTGAAGCTCCGTTAACTCTATCCTGCACAGGCTACTAGGGAAGTAGCTTTCCAGTTTTTTGACCCTGACACACATACAAAATACTTTATATGGAAGTTTAGAATAGACATTTACATGTATACATATGACAGAGAAAAAGTGTTATGAAATACTGCTTTCCTTCACTATTTGCAAGTCACTAATATTTTCTATTCCATTTCCTTCTGCTTCATCCTCTTCTACTCCCTCTATTTGTTTTGGTCTAACCTATTTCACTTTAAAATGTCATTTGGGGGGCTTCCTTGGTGGCTCAGTGGATAAGAATCTGCCTGCCAATGCAGGGAACATGGGTTTAATCCCTGATCCAGAAAGATCCCACATGTGCTGAAACTCCTGAAGTCTGAGTACCTGAAAGCCGGTGCTCCACCACACTGAGTAGCCCGTTAACCACAACAGAGAAAAGC